TTCAGAAAAAAAGAAAAAAATTATGTGGGACCAACGTCAAATGCATTGTTCTGCTCATAAACAATGCATTCCTTACTTAAGCGAGAATTTGCATGCAAAGATCATATAATGCATACATAAATACACCTAAATGTACACATGTTGTTGTTTTTTATTTAAATATTAAAAACTTATAAGGATTTAAGATACTAATTTCCATAAAACGTGACATAACAGTCTTGTGAAAGATCCATTTACCTCACAGTTGTCTACTTTCCAGTTACTCTGTGGTATTACTCTGAGGCCCGTTTTGACTGGTGATGGCTACTTAACGATTTTTTGGTTTTGAATCAGTGGTTCAGAGCACATATCAAATGGTGGCGTGACTTCACTGAACGGGGCTTTGTTACATCATTATGGTTTCAAAACTTTTTAAAAATTGAATAATTTCCTCTTGCAGACAATCTGTATATTACAATAAAATCCACATGAACATCGCCCACAGTGGCGAATCAATATACTTTACCTGATCTCAAATCAGTTTTACAAGTTTATTGTCATTTTACTGAGACGTTTGTAAAATGAAAAGGAATAATAGTTAATAATTTAGCAGAGCCCACAATTGAACATGCAATATACAAGCCTTGAAAATGTACAAAAAAAAAGCGCTTATTATGCAGACTCTTAATATTTACTGATATCAGTTGATAAGCTGAGAGCATTTAAAGGTTATGCTTTAAATTTAAAGTTCGCAATATTTCTGAAAAGTCAAATGCTGGTTTTTCATGAGTTTTATTTCCATTTACACCGTTTTGACCATCATTTTGAAAAGCTTTTGTTTTAAAAGCTTTGTCCTCCTGGTCAAGCCAGTACTCAATCCAGCAACCTTCTTGCTTTGAAGCAATCACGTTAACCACCATGCCACCTAAATGAAGCAAAGAGTTCTGCTTTAACATTGGATCAAATAAAATGCAAAATATTTTAAATGGTTAAAAAACATATATAAATTTACCTTTGTTCCAGAGGCCATAAGGCTTTACAACACTATATTTTAGCAAGTTTTAAATTGACATTTTTAATACATGGGTCTTTTCTATGGTTTTTTTTTTTTGTACAATTTATGAAGCTATTCTGAAGCATGCCGGATTGTGTTTTTCAATATTGTTTGTAAGTGATCTGATCTCTTTATGTGTGTGTTTGTATCATGAAATGCTACTACCCTAATCCTATTGCCCCTGGTGGGATTAATAAAGCTGTTAAACTTAAACTGTGCCACCTAAAAGAAGCAAAGAATTCTGCTTAGGATCAAATAAAATGTTAAATATGTTATAGTAAAACAGGGTTGTTTAAAGTATATTCATGTGTAACATTACTATTTTTGCTGTATTCTTGATCAGATTATTGCAATTTTTCTTTAAAAACACACACAAAAAATGTCCAACCCCCGATATTTTATTAGTAGTATTTGTTAACCTGTTAAACTTTAAACCATTATTTTAATATATTTTAATTTAATGTTTTGGTAGTTTTTTCTGATGTTTAGGAGTGTTGGTGTCTATCTACCGGTGCATTCTGTTTCCACAAATATGACCATAAGGTTTAGAATGAGGCAGTTTCTTATATTATTTGTAATAAACACTACTACTTTTTAATTTTTATAGAACATGAGGCTTTTAATAACATACAAAAAATATCAACATGTGTAATTCCTGCATTAGGAAAAAATATACTAGGACAAAATCATCTGTTTGGGATTAAACTGGAATGGTAAAATACATGAGTGATGAATTATGTGTAAATATATATGTGACGCTGAACAAAGTTGCATGTGTTGTTAGGAGAGAAGACGAGCTGCTGTCAGAGAGCTGATCCGGTTAATAAAGGTAGGAGGAAGAGCTCTAATCTATGTTTGGGCCATGGAGCAAGAATACAACAACCAAAAATCTAAATATCTGAAAGAAGAAGCATCTGGAAGCAGCAGGGAGGGTGGCGAAGAGCTAAAAACTGAAGAAAATAAGGCAATTCAAAAGGAGGAGCATGATAGAAATATGATATCAGACATTCGGTGCACAGATGATGGTTTAAGTAATGTGACGCAACCAAAAATACATGTCCACACTAATCGAACAGCTTTCCTGTCCCAGGACCTTCTGGTGCCGTGGCATTTAAAAGGCAATATGGAGAATAAGAAGGGAGCAGCAAGTGGCTGCGCAGACATCCCTGTGGAAAACGCTAAGCAGAAGCCTGTATTTCACCGCTATTATCATGTCTTCCAGCAGGGAGAGCTGGAGGAGCTGTGTTTGGGGGTAAAAGGAGTAAAAGTGCTCAGGAGTTACCATGATCAGGGTAACTGGTGTGTGGAACTGGAAAAGACACATGGTAACTTTTCAATTATTGCAGCGGGAAAATGAAAAATTCTATTTTCTTTAATAAATGACAGCGTATAATATATATTTTAATATTCATTTGAAATGTTTTATTGAACGCAATGACGGTTAATAAATGACAACAGCAGAATAACGACAATGTTGAGTGTTTTTATAAAACAGTGCAACATGCTCAACCTACTTCACTTACTACCTACTACCTTCTTCAAATAATTGTGTAGGTTTTCTGCAATACAATAATTGATGCGACTCTTACAATTATACACTTTTTCTTGCAGTTGTAAGTTTGTCTTACTGTTCTGACTTTTTAACCCCTTCGGATCCGGTGTCCATTACAATAGGCATCACGTCAGCCTATGTTTTTGTGGTTCTTAAGCATTTCATCTAACTTAAAGTCTGCAGTCCATGAGAGTGGATGATTGTCAAATGGTGGTAAGACTCTGCATGTTGTAATTTGAAAAGAATCCAGTACACTACCTGACAAACACTTGACTATCCAAGTTTTAGGAACAACAAATAATAACTTGACTTCTAGTTGATCATTTGGTATCAGAAGTGGCTTATACTCTATGAAAGGCAAAAGCCTCTAGATTACTTATTTTTCCAAAATAAAATATGATCATGCCCTGATTTTTAATTATTTAATTAGGACAGTAATGTCTGACTTTGCTTAGACAAAAGTCTTTTCACTTAACAGAAATGATGTCCAGTATAGAATATAAAGTCATGGTGCAGTGGAAAAATAATGAATATTGTGTTTGACTCCCATGAGCTTGGAAGACTGCATTCATACATCTCTGCAATGACTCAAATCACTTATTAATAAAGTCATCTGGAATGGCAAAGAAAGCGTTCAAATCCCAGAGTTCATCAAGATTCTTTGGATTCATCTTCAATGCCTCCTCCATCTTAAACCAGACATATACTCAATAATGTCTATTTCTGGTGACTGGGCTGGCCAATCCTGGAGCACTTTGACATTCTTTGCTTTCAGGAACTTTGATGTGGAGACTGAAGGATGAGGAGCGCTGTCCTGCTGTAGAATTTGCCCTCTCCTGTGGTTTGTAGTGTAATGGGCACCACAAATATCTTGATACCCCAGACTGTTGATGTTGCCATCCACTCTGCAGATCTCTCGCTCACCCCCATACTGAATATGACCCCAAACCATGATTTTTTTCCTTCACCAAACTTGACTGATGTCTATGAGAATCTTGGGTCCATGTGGGTTCCAATTGGTCTTCTGCAATATTTGTGATGACTGAGATGCAGTTCAACAGATGATCCATCAGAAAAATCTTCCTTCTGCCATTTTTCCAAATGATCAACCAGAAGTCGATTTGTTGCTCTTACAACTGGGATCAATGACAAGACTTTTGTCAGTGAGCACAATATCGTAAAACCGTGATGTTTTCATCCAAGGTTATCATGCCATCAGAATCTTATACTGGCCCATGCCTAGTTCGGGTAGTACAACTGTTCTGACCTGATGTCGATGAAATGGACAAAAATATATACTTAAAGGTTGTTGAATTTTTATTATTATAATTTGGTCTCATTTATAGGAGCCTCAAGAAGTCTGAAAACTTACTTTTACATTTTTCAGAAACTTCTGAAAGTTAAAATGATCTTGATTTCCTGAATATTTTATTTTAGAATTGTTGTCTTTAAACAAAGTTTAATCAAAGTTTGCATCAGTCAGTTCTGACTTTCCCCACCAGAACGGCAAGTTTATATCTTGCAGTTCTTCTTATTGAACACATTTCAAGGGCACCTATTTGTCCCCTTTTGCAGATTTAAGATAAGTCTTTTGTGTCACCAGAATGTGTCTGTAAGGTTTCAGCTCAAAACACCCATCAGATTATTTATTACACATTTATGAACATGAAGGAAGCAGATCTCATGTCACGTTTGTGAGAAATGCTACAGTAGGAACTTTCCCAATGATTATTTGTTGTATTTGTTGTGGAATTAATTTGTCTATCTACAACGATGAGTCACACACAACGTCGTTACAAAGTTTACGCGCACATACACACAGCTCTTGCGTTTAACTTTTATTGTTTTTGCACATAAATGTGACAGGATACACATTAATATTTACTGCTGTATGAATATCTGTTATGTTAATGTACAAAATAAACCTGAGTTATGTCCACAAACCGGGATTAAAGCAGCGTCTTTTATAATTGTACTGACATGCGGCTGTGGTGATAAAGACGGTAAAATCATTGTAATTCATTACAAACACACTGTTTTAAAAATTTTTAAACTTGTGAAACTTATTCTTTATCACATTTAATGATGATTAATGATCACAGAGCACTGAACAGATCTTTTAATCTTAGCTGCTTTGTGCACGTCCTGTCTCGTGGATATGATTATACGCATTACTACAGAGGCCTGTTAATACGCGGCTGACAATCAATTTGGTGGGCGGGGAAAACAGCACTCCTATGTCACGTTCCGGTCGGCCTCATAACGGGAACGATTTGGATCCTACTTTAACCTCAGGAAATTTTAAGAAAGAGACTTGTTGTGTTTCTATCATCCCAATATGACTGTGGACACAATATACCTACACACAGTTCTGACCAAACAGCTGACAATAGAGGATTTTCATCATGGGTTCAGAAACAAGCAAAAAAAGAAAACATTTAAAATTTCGTTTTTTTATTAAATAGAAATTTATGCATGTATTATAACCAAATGTTTTAATAGTAAATATTTTTAGTAAAATTAGTAGTAAAAATGTATTGAACTATTTTATACATCGTTTTCAGTGCAACTGAAGATATGAACTGACTCTACTTCTTTCTTTAACCACTAGATGGCGTAAGATCGGAATGTAAGACAGAGGTAAAGGTAGCGCTGTGAACTTTCACCTTGAATTTGATGACGAACTTCCTGCATGTTTAAATTTTAGTAACCTAGGTTGACCTGACGCTTCGGTTAATTCATATATTATTAATACATATACTTTTTTGTTTTGTGGTAAACTACGGGGGGACTCCAACATGTTTAAAATTGTAGAGGGGGGAAACATAAGGGTCCATTTCGCGCACGGTCTAATCGTTCCCACAAAACTCCTACGGACGTAGGAGACGCTTACAATGCGACAGAAAGGTTATGAACAATGCAGATCTGTAAATATGTTTGCGGTGAATGTCTTGTGTGGGGGAGTTGGTCATATTTGTGACCTTGTCTTTTTATCCTGTTGGCACATGACACATTTAGACCGTTTTAAATGGTGCCATCGGTATGAAACAAAGGAATTCATGTAATAGTGATGAAAGAGGATGTGTATAAAGACCTTAGATAACTCAATCAGCTCCACATCCATTGCACGACCCCCTTTTCGATAAACTCTTCCTCAAGGAGCGCGTACCCCCACTATTCTGATTAGGCGCGTGCACGATGTGACTATGCAACAGATATTTTTAAGCAACTGTTTTCCAGTGTCAATATTCACTAATATAACGTTAATTTTTCTGGCTAAGGAGAAATGTTATATGGCATGTTTAAAAGCATTACAACGTGTTATCCCGCTTCTGCTGTTAAATCCCATTCTTTGAGCGCCAGAACACTAAAATGTGACTTCTTCTCATGTAATGCACGTGTAAAACCCAAAAATGTTAATCAGAAAACTTTTCGCAGTCCCACCACCTGTTGTGCTAAAAGACAGATATTGTGCTAAATTAAGATAAGTTTTCTTAGTCATCGTCATAACCATTTATGGTGGTCTCCGGTTAACGTTAGCTCTGTAAGTAAAGCTACTTCACCTCTACATTGCCTCGGCATTGTTCAATATGCCTTGGCTTCAAGGAACTTAACACTTTATAATTGCTCGAAGCGGGCCAAAAAGCCACTCCATTGCGCGTTTTCTAAATTATTATTCCCGTAAACGCATCGTTTTCCTCCCCTGCACAAGCAAATGCCGAGGCAAATCACGCTAACAGCCGCTGGGTGCAGCCCGTTGTCGGGTTTGTTTAGGCGGCCATTTTGTGAACACTGCACACACACTGAAGCGAGCGCGCTTTGTAGCGGGGACGCGCTTTACCGTGCAGACCCTCTCCAGCGACAAGCAGCCGCGGAGCCGATCCGAGATTAACGGGCAGTGAGGGGGGGGTCCCTGGCGAATGCACATCGCGGTGCGACGAAGAAACCCCAGTTTTTAGTTCATCCGTTTTTCTTTCTTTTTCCTTTTTTCATTTAATCACTCTTCTTCTCACCCCTCCACCCCCTCTCTGCTGCTGCAACTGCACCGCGAGCGCGCCGCTACTACACTGCCGCTGCTGGGCGATGTGAGCGCGGTTAGCCTGAGCGCTAGCCGCCGAGACCCGCACCAGCACTAACCGCGAGCTGCTTCTGAACGAGCTCCAGAAGACACCACGATAAGGCGGAATATCGCGGACCACCAAGAGGCGGCTGTCACGGTTGCATGTACTGCTGCTCACCGGACTGGCGGTTGGCCGCGCCGGGGGTTTTGAAGACGCCGCCGCCTCGCTTCTCCGTGCTTTTGGGAAACTGAGAAAATACAAACAAATGTGCTGAAGAGGGATTGTAGAGCCTCTACAAGACTACAGCGTGCGCGGTTCGTCTTTTTCGGAAGACGATCGCAGCAACCCGTCCGAAGGGGTGGCGGTTCGGGGGGAGGGGGGTCGTTTTGCCGGTTTTTCGGTCCGCCCCGGTACCTGTGTGGCGGAGGTTCGGACGGTAGAGGAGGAATACTGGTAATGGCTGCTTCGGGAAGCTGGACACGAAGCTGAGGTAAGACTACAGTTGGTTTCTTCACTAGTACCGTTAACGTGTCTTTCAAACGAGATGCTCCCAGCCGGTTCCTGCAAGACACCGTGTTCCCGAAGACGCCTGATGCACACAGGCCGGGGCTTTGGGCAGGGGAATGGGGAGGGAGTGGGGACATCTGTGTGTATGTGTGTGTGTATACGGCTTGTTACTTCATGTAAACTGGGTCAGATGCAAAAGACCATGGGCAGGTGTTTAAACGTTATCCTCCCGGTGCCATCCAGAGAGCAGCGGCTCAACTCATGGCAGCCAGGTTGCTTGTCAGTGGATGTGATTTGCAATGATTAAAACCATGCACAACATCTTTCCCCAACCATTACGGCCGCTA